AATTTCAAATCTCAATGATGATCGAAAGTTTTCAAGTCAAACCAAGAACGTATCTTTGTTCACAGCATAATGTAAATGTAGGGCAATATACTTAGGTCTTTTTAATAGTGTCTACATCCAAAGCAATACATGCATCACGAATTTGGGACTTCCGGTCATCGCGCAGTGCATACTGGGAAGGATTTTCTGAAAGCGCCATCAAAGCGGGATCCCGTTTGTTAAGTGAGAAGTGCAGAAAACAAACAGTCCGAGCTTGCACTTTCTTGTTCTTGTGGTTTTACAACAACATCATGTCTTGGTCGCTTTGCAGTGGAAGGTGTTTCTTGGTGAACAGTTGGTGACTTTCGCTTTGGCGTTGACTTTTTAAATTTGTTGCCCAGGTGAAGCAAGGGATCGGGATTTTGCTTTGATGGCTCCACATACAAAATGTTTGCTGCAAACTCGGGATGATTTCTTAGGCAGCCAAAGGTTTCCTTTTTGGTCCTTCCTGTGCATCAATACTGCCCATCACCTTCACCTCTTACCATTTTTCAATTCTGTTGGGAAGAGAAACAGTTTGAACGGAGGTTTGCAGTCACAGATCTGACTCCCTTTTGCAGTTATGGAGTCTGCAAACTTTCAAAGCCCATTTCTCGAGCCGTTTTCCACTGTAAGGACATCCAATAATCACGATGTCCGAATCCCATAACTAAAATACGACAATATCAGAACCAGAAACAAAAGTGATATGGTTCAAAAGACTAGAAAAGATCAGCTTTGACAATAGACGCATCCATGGCTGTTTGATGCTCACTTTTTCGGAAAATCCTTCCCAGTACACACTGCGCAATGACTGGAAGTCCGAAATTCGTGATTCATATATAGTCTTTATTGTTTACATCAGGCATGTCCAAACTATGGCCCATGGACCAAATGCGGCCCTCAGACTAACTTCTCATGGCCCGTTTTACATTAAGCAGTACTTTATAGCCACATGTTTTTTGAAAATCTATCATGGTGAAGCAAAAATACCAAACTGGGTGAAGACTTAAGCATGAATAAAGGTCTTGTGGCTCTTGCAATCACTGATAAATGCACAGATATGAATTATTATCTGCACTGATGACCAGTCTATGGCTCTCAATTGGCCGTCCACTTCATCCGTGTTTTCGTTTGCAAATCTTGATGACAAATGTTTGGACACCCCTGGTTTATATTGAAAAAAATCATACTGAAATCCATTTGTATGTTGTTTTTTTTTATTAAACAGTGGTCAGTTTCTTTGTGGTCCATGAAGAGGGTTGTGGGTTCTATTCTCATACTCTCAATCTGGTCTTTTTACTGAAATATTCTACAGCCACATTCTAAAGAAAATAAGCAGGAACACAAGAAAATACATAAATTCCTATGAACAGAAGAAACTGCGATAAAACGTGTGTTATTGTTGGAGCTCGTGTGAGAAAGGAGCAGAGATGGTTGCAGAGATCGTTCATCTTATCAAACATTTCGCGCTCGCCCACTCCATCGGATGACAAAATTAATCTATTACGTGTGCACTGACAGCCTGTAAAGTGCACACTCAAGTTAAGTGACAAATTAGAGTGCCGTTTGACTCCGTTCACCTCATCACTGCTAATTCACACCAGATGGAGACTCTTGGACGTAAACTCATTTAAACATCATAAAAAAAACACTTAAGATTTGTGAAAAAAAATTGATTCACAATTTTTTTACTTAATTTGGTAGAATTAATACCTGTTGGAAATATAAATTATAGTTTTACACCAATCAAGAAGCAATCTGTGAAGAAAAGTAGAAAAATGTTGAAAATAACAGGAAGTGTAGAGTATTTTAGAGAGTTTAGAGAGTTTCCTGATACTTTAAACATGATTTCAATTAAATAAATGTATTTTCTTATACTTTTGTCCAATAATAATTTCAGAGTACAGTTCTGACCTAGAATAAAACCTTTAAAACCTAAAAATGCTAAATTTTAAAAGTTTAAAAGTTTTAGTAAAATTAGTAGTCCAATCTATCATAGACACTTTAAAGGTACACTGTGTAACTTGTCTGCTTGTCTCCATGGAGATGTACCTAGAATGTTCCACAGTACAGCCATAAACTTAAAAATCTCCATGTAAACTTGCAGGCAAATTGACTGGTTAGATTTGTGGAGAGGTGACCCCAGTCAGAGTAAGAATCAGATTTTTTAAGATCTTTTTGAGCAATAAACAAAACCTATAGTTGAGCAAATGCAAGACAAATTTGTTAAATATTATACTGCGGACAATTTAAATCAGAATCTTCATGATGAAACAGGTTGCGGACCCTATTCGGAAAAGTTACACAGTGCACCTTTAATTTCTGTTACCACCGTTGAGGCTTGGTTCACTGTGAAAGAGGAAACTAGCACTCAAGCCAATGTTAAGTGAGCTGTGGTCTGGAAAGGAGTCATAAATTACACATATGTAACAGACACTCAGAGCCTATAAATAACTCCAGAGTCTGTAGACTGACGTCCTAATGGCAAATTAATCACTCCAAGAAACACTGTTATTGCAATAGTCATAAAACAAGTAGATTATTATAGTTATTTAGTTATATAGTTGTTTAGATAATGAGAATGTATAGGCTAATTACTACATTTAATGAGCTACTCAAACTAAATACTTGTTACTACTACTACTAACTGGATCCACTGGCTTTTGGATCTGATGATACACTCACAGAAATGAGCAAGAGACAGTTTTCACTAGGGCTGTTCTGGTACCGATATCGACAAAAGATCCAATACCTAAAATTTTTCAGATATCGTATCGGCGAGCACTCAGATCTGCTTTTTCCTGAATGTCGTCCCACAGATGCGAGCAGCCGTTGTTGACGTGTGTGGCAGGCAGAGCAGACTGAATACAGGCTAAATACAAACTGTGGAGGCTTTGTGGACACTTAAAACATATATGTTTTTGTATATATGTGGGTATATTTCTGCATAATGAAAAGTAGCCACTCCAAAGGTGATTAAAAAAAAAAAACAGTGAACCACGTGATTATGTAAAACAATTGGGGTAGGACTCTAACTTTTAAAAACTTCATTCTACTCCTTTTGAGCACCAGGTCCCAAATATGTTCATGAACATATCACTATTTTTTTTGTTTTTTTAATTCTGTTGTGCCTGGCTCAAATAAATAAATAAAATGAAATGAAAAAAATACTAATAATTACAGAAAACCTAACTGTATTTGTGATACTCTTGAGCTGAACTTGGCAAAGTAACAATGGAGAGTGCAGCGTTAATAGCGCCAACTCTGACTTTATTTACTCTGCAGACTTGGCCATGTGCTCTGACAATGAGAGTCTTTTTACAGGCCTCACTTTTTTCTCTTTTTTCATCCAAGTTCTGGTAGAAAGTGATAAGAAGAAAAGTAAAAGTGCTTAAATCAGCACAATGTATCATCAAGATTGTCGTTTATTGTTTTTTAGGATTCCCGTTAGCTGCCTGTATAACTGCTGGGGTCCTCTCAAAATTAATCATTACTCAAAAAAATGTATTACATTTATAATAATATCTAATAGGGGCATCATTATAAGACCATTATATATTTGACTCTTAACACTTAAGCCTTCAAAATCTGATTCATTCTTGTAGATTTTCTTTACAGATAGCCTTTTAGTAGATTTATTTTTTGTTCTTGTACTGTAACAAAATTAAGTAGTCTTAGTCTACTTCTTGACATTATGCAGTATGGAACTAGTATCGGTATCGGCGAGGATACTAAGGCCAAGTATCGGTATCAGATTGGATCCTAAAAAAAAAAAAAAAAGCTATCATAACAACACTAGTTTTTACTTAAGACATCATAGTAAAAATGTGAGTGTGAGTTTACTTAGCTTGAAGTATTTCATTAATTTTGTTTACAAAGAAAAGCGTCTATTTATCTCACTTCTGAACACAAATGTCGCCTCTTAACAGCCAGTCCGCGTATTAGCCTGTAGCCACATTAGCATAATAGGCATTATAAAATACGCTCTGATGATCTGTGTACACTATGGCTCAATTATGAAGTGTGTCAAAGAAGCCTGCAGCACTGAAAATCACATTGAAACATCTCTTTGAAAACCCGACCACCTTCCAAACCTTGAAAGCTAACATTATCCAACACAACATGAATAGAGCAGACATAAAACTATTTTTAATTAGCTGATTTGATATCGCTCACTCGACAGCACAGCCTTGAATCCCTACAGCAGATTTGCACCCTAATATAGAGGTAGGTTTATGCCAAGCACCCAACGCTAATACAGGCAAGTGCTCGAGCTAGCAGATGGTCACGAACATAAGAGATCGCTTACAACTATATTCAAGCGCCACATATTCCACACCGCTGTTTATTTTAAAGCTAATCACCATATTTAGAACAGACAGTCAATCAATGCTAGCACTTTCTGAAATTGAGAAAATGCTCCAAAACTTCTCGCTAAAACCTCGACAACTGCAACAAAACTAATTCCGAATTTGATAGATCATAAGTGATGGGCGGCTACAATTCCAAATAACTGCAGTGATGTCACTTTGGGGGTATTCTACATGTATCTCTATGGTGGAATGTTCAGCAGTTACCGTGGTGACACAATGCAGGTCTTTCTGGTCAGATTGTGTTATAACAAAGCTCAGATTCAAGTCTAACTGGAGAATAAGAGCTTCTAACAGAGCAGTACTTTCAGTTAGAGTCACACTCCCAGCTGCAAAGTATCAATATATCGATACTGACTGAGGTATTGAAGTATTTACTCTCATGCAAAAATGCTAATACTTTAAATGTATGGGAGTAATGTATGGGAGTTTCATTACATTTTAATTCACAATACACATCATCAGTATCGGTATTGTCATAGCTTTATAGTTGGTATCGGATTGAAACAAAAATCACTGGTATCGCCCATCACTATCGATCATAAACAAAGAAACCTCAAAATAACCAACAAAGCCGGAGACAACAATTAGGAAACTGGTCCGTCCTACCTTGACGCCTCGGACTCTGAACTCGGCCAGGGCACGGCTCATCTTGGATGAGGCTGTCTGCAGGTCTTTCCCGCTGGCGATGACTTTGACAAGGAGCGAGTCGTAGTGAGGAGAGATGACCGCTCCCTGGAACGCCGACGCACTGTCCAGACGGATCCCCATGCCCTCACCACTACGGAATACCTGGAAGACACAGTAGTAAATAGTTAGGAGGATGAGCCAGTGAAAGAAACAGTAGGGTTCTGCGGCAGTTACTAAAGATGTTTTAAAGACGGCCACAACGGTGCAAGTGCCCACACCAGTTCCACTGGGAACCAAAGTGCTCACATAAATGACCCGCGTTCAAATCATGTAAGTGAACCCAAGATGCATCATCGACAGAGGGTGTGGATTTGCCACCAAATTAAAAACAAGGCCATATGAAAGCTGATGTCACAGAAATAACAATCATGGATCACATCATTGACACCAGCGAGCATTTGTACTCATACAAATCATTATCTGCGCCATGCTCTGCTACAACATCTGATGTGGAGAAGGCAGCAGCGACGCCGCACCAAAAAATATAACCTTACAGGGTGAACACTGATATAGCAAATATTTGTTCTTTTTTGCTGCTGACCATCTTCTCGTCACTTGATTTCTCCATCATATTCCACACACACTTTCTTTGTTCAATTTACCACGTGTGACCTGGACCAACCTGCTGACGTCTATTGTGCTGTCACGGTTCGCTTGGAAAAAGTTTTACTTGATTCCCATCGGGAACCACCTTTTAGGTTCTAGAACACACTGATTTTCAGCGTGAACACGTCGGTCGGTTTGAGATTAAGTGCAGGAACCGGCATAGTTCTCTGTTGGCCTGAAAATGCTGTAACTGAATGAGTTATGTAGGGGAGAGTAGAGATTGAACAATATGTTTTTTTTCATGGCTGATGTAGATACTGATTGTTTAGTCTAGGGTCCAGGGCAAATTTTTTGGCCAATAAAGGGCTGATGATGACTATTTTCTACAAATTATGGCATTTAAAACTCACTCAGAGCCTTTTCTTTACCACAAGTGTATAAGAAAACTGTGTAGTCATGTTTTGTGCAGTTATTTTCGTGTATTGAAATAAAGCATTATGGGTATTTTAGGCAGCAGATTGGCCAAAACATTATCAGTGCTGTACTTGAGAGTTAAGGCCAATAGTCAATACCTCAAAATGTGCAAATATCGGCATGATATAGTCAGAGATATCAGTTGGTCGATATTTCTATGGGAGAGCAACTTTTCTTTGCCACTGTGTATAAACTGTTGGGAGATTTAAAGGCGTTTGAAAGACAGAGGTATCCAAATGAATCTGTATTCTTCTAAAACATTTTCTACATTATTGTACAAAATATTGCATGATTCAGGAAACCAATCACCCATTGACACACACATACTAGTCTCAAACACTGGAGACAAGGCTGGGCATGTCTCCTACACAAGGACACCAACTTAATACAGTGTTGGAAAGGGGAATTGAACAGATAACCTTTGCGTCAGAGGGCAAAGCATTACCAGCTCCCTCCTGTGGACTTTCCTCATCTACAATTAACTGTTATGCCCTTTGCAGTACTTGCAAATTTTGTCAGCCTAAGAATAAATGCATTCATTACAGTCTTTATTGTCAAACTCGGCCTGGTCGAGTAACCTCAGAGGATGTAAGATATTAGTCTACAAGAACTGCACCCACACAAGTAATTATGATAAAACAATTGACATCTCAACTTTTACTTTTTTATTTATTTACTTTTTTAATCTCTCTAGCCATTTCGAGCCTTTTATTAGAGCTAAACACAAGTCTGGCGTTACACTTCTAAAGCCAAAGTTAACCTGCTGCTTAAAGATGACCACAGGGAGGAAAGGATGAGGAAATGAAAGAGTGGATTCCTCTGAAGCACTTGGCACCAGAGCAGAAGACGAGTGTGTGTGAGGAAGACTGTCCAATACCACAACATATGGAGCACCCAAAGGCCCTAGCAGCAGAGAAGGATAAAGTATAATTATTACGGTGATGTGCTGCAAGCATACAAGGCGAAATTAGGGAGACAAGACTGTGGTAAACAAACAGATACAACACTTCACTGTCCACAGAGAAATTTGTCCTCTGCATTTGGTCCATATGCTTTTATTTTTATTTTTTTTATTTGTTTGATTGCGACAGAGCACGTTAATTGACAGGCATGATACAATATGAACGATAAAGGCTATTTTTCTACTCATTGGCGCCAGGGACACATCTCAAGATCTGGAGCTAGTTACGGTCAGGACAACCTTAGCTGGAGGATTTTGCCTGTGGTGTATGTTTTGGGTTGATGGGGGAAGTGTGCATGTGTGTATTCTGGATCCTTCTTGCTGTGAGGTAAGACTGCTAATGACTCAGAAACCTTGCCAACTATAAAACAAAACAATACTACGATTTACTAGAGGAAGCAATAACACTCATTAACTATAATTTATCAGTGAACTTACTTTGAATAGGACCGTATCAAAGTAAATATTGATAAAAGTTCTTAAGGTTCACCAAAAAAATGAAAGGATGCACTTAGAATCTCACCTTTTTATCTTAATACTTGAAGTTAAATGAATGTGTTTATTATAAATAGATGGTCCTAAAAGCTAAACGATTTGTTTAGGAGCAACATTAATGATTACATAGAAAAATGTGACATACTTGAATGGGCAGTTGAGTGACAAAATGTAGATCTCAGCTTTGGTGAGGACATTATCAGCTAAACCCCCCTCCATATGTTTTATGAATTCTTTCTGGGCAGGTCCAAAATAAGTGAGAGGTGGTTTCATTTTTCAGTTTGCAAAATGTACAGTTTGTGTCCACTGCCCTTCTAAGGTGATTCTTTAGAGAATAACAGCGATGTAAAAGTTTGTAGCAGATTTCCCTTTGCTTGTTGGTGATGAGATATTTGTGAGGTAATGTCCGTACATTTTTCCATGGAATATTGCCAGTAGAGTCGGTCAGCTCACAGAGTACGAATAGGGCTCCATTTGGGAGGTGCACTTGTTGTGATAGTCGCTCTTTTTCTGCAGCGACTCATTACAAGGGAAGTTTAATTAAAGATGAAGCCAAGTAAGTTCATTTTGAAAAGTGTTTCAAAGTTTGGAGCACAGCGTCTCAGTCCTGCTCAAGCCAACATCTTCAGGTGCTGGAGCTGTTCTTCTGCTTCCCCAGTTTAGGCTCCTGGCTCCACTAATGACATCACTCTGTTGCAGCCAATGAAATAGCGGCATGGGTAACCCTGTCGTCATATCACTGAATACATCTCAGAATGTGTAATAAACAAAATGTGAACTAAAAAGTGTTCAATTAATACTACTGAGTTTGGAAAAATATTGGAATAAATTTATGGGTAGGGACTATTTTGTCTTCCCTGAATATTGGTTGTGACATTTCCCCACCGTCCCTATGCAAACCTACGCCCTTGATGGGAGCATCTGTGATTCATTCTAGATTCAAAACACAGTACTTGTGCTATTACACTTTCAACACAAATGAGAAATGGGCCTTCAAAGCTAAACATTATTTATGGTGCTCTTCATGACTCAATCCTGCCACAAGATTTAGAAGTCCATGAATGTACAACCGATATAACTGATATTATCTAGGGCTTTAAAAAAAAAAAGCATTAAAAAAACAACACGTATCAAGGAGGGGCATCTGGCATAAAACATATCTAAAAAGCTGATTCAGTGCAGTTTTGATAAGAGAAACATCTAAACACTTCAAGCTGTGAAATGGTGTGTCTTGTACAATTTAATAAAACAAGTTGTTAAATTGAATATATACAGTGGAATGAAAGCTTCTGATATAAAATGACTTTCAAACTAGACTTTGATAAACAAGCAGAATCTTAAATGCCTGGATTGAGCAGACAGTCATACATTTTTCAGTTCGTGATTGAATATTCCACTGTATGGTTTATTTATGAACAAATCCTGCTTTAACATGGACTCCAGATTTCACCTCAGCCTAAATGGGAGTTAAGGAAGTTGACGTGTGAGAAATGGATGAGGGTTTGTGCAGATTAAATTGTCTCGGGCTGTGCATTCTTCAAAACAGGATCAATAATGTGAATTCAAGCCATTTTAACACTAGACTTACACTGAAGTCAGATCTTCACAGCTCTACAAGCCCAGGTTCAACACTGTGATTTGGAGTGCACTGCTTCTAAACTGAAAAAAGGTTAATTTACGTGAGTTGAAATAACCAAAAATATAAATCTAGTGTAGATTTTTTTTTTCTTTCAAATTAGTCTTGTGTCAAAATCAAAATCAAGTCCTAACAACATGTTGGTTTGAAAATACTTATGTGGTAATACAGGAAGTGCTCCACTGTGTTCTTAAACATACATCTTCAATAGAATCATTTGGATGATTTCAACCCTGGAACTGCCAATCTCAATTAAACAAAACGTAGAAGAACCTGTTAACTTGAAATCTACCACTTAATGACATCACAAGGTGGAAAGGAGAATTGTGGGCTAGAGAGAGAGAGAAACTCGCAAAACTTCATGACCCAAAACAATAGACATTATTCGTAAAACACAAAATAAAGGTGGATTTGAGCATTATTGAACATTAATGAGGATATTTTAGTGTTGACTGAGCGATCGTCTCTCTCTGAAAAATTTGTATTACCGTGTTTTTCGTGCTATAATGCACACTGGATTATGAGGCGTAATATCAGTAATGTTGACTTCATTTTCATACATAAGGCGCAGTAAGCGAAACAAGTTAACGACACTTGAGACTTTTTTATTTCCTGATGAGACCACAAACATACATTGAGTAATAATGTGTTTGATCCAGTTTTGCACACATTTGTTTCCGTTTCACAGAAACGAAACTTAAAACCACATGGTTAATTTGCATAAACTATGGAAATTCTTTGTTCTTTATCTGTCGGACTAAAGACTCAGTGGAATATATGTGAAAATCTGTTCGAGGTCAGTAACGCAACCAGAATAAATACATAAGGTGCACCAGATTATAAAATGCACTGTCAATTTTTCAGAAAATTAAGGGATTTTAAGTGTGCCTTATACTCCAAAAAAATACGGTACTCAAGTTTTAAACAACAAAAAACAGTAATCAGTGTTTCCCAAAGAAAATTGGTTAGGCAAAGTGGTGCTGCCAAAAA